CGTCCGGTCTTCCACCGAGCGTCCGGCGAAATAGCAAAAGCGGGAATCAAGCCCCATATTCTCTGCTCGATCTCCCTCGTCTACGAGTTCTCGTGATTGGAGTAGGCGCGGAAGTACCACCTATCTTCATCCAGAGCATCCGGGCACCACGGCTTACGGATCTCACATACGGAGGAACAATCGTCCCACAGGTCATCACCAATCTTCTTTCGCACTCCAATGCAACCCTGCGTCGCTTTTGCTTGAACGTCACGGACGACAACGAGTATATACCCGAAGGCTTCTTTGACCAGGTCTTCGTCAAGCACCCCGGGCTTTGGCGTTCACTCGAAACGATCATCGTCGCTTTTGACAAGTATAATTCCAGGCGGTTTGCCAACGAGGAGGACACACAGATGCAACGGAACGATCATGCGGCGTCTGCCTTCTTTCGTCTTCTCACCTGCTCATCCGACTCCGAAGACGTCTTTCCTGCTCTTCTAGAGCTTGAACTATCCATGATTACACCATCTATATCTCAGGTCACCGATATGCTCGAGTCGAGACGCCTTTCACACGGCGGGGCGCGTCTTCTTAGGTGCAAACTCGCAGGCCTAAAGTCGGAGCATCTTTTGTTCGATCCAAGCCGAGTCGCACACGAAAGTAAGGCAGTCGAGTCAGCCGCACAACGGTCTATGCTGCTCATGGACAGTATGCAGTCGTCGTGGACGCTTTCACCATGGGATATCGCCAATCCAGTGAAGCGGTACACTCATGAGGTGAGGACGACGGGGACCCATGGGAAGGTGGCGGTGAATCGACGGCTTTGGTGGTGGGAGGGACTGGAGAGGGAGCCGGAGCAGTGGGCGAGAATTAGGAGGTTGGAGAAGGAGGGGCTTGAGCTGTGCATGAAAGATGGGTGGGTGTCTGAGGTGGAGAATGGTGGTGAGTAGTCGATCGGCTTTGCTCGGTATCTGGAGAGGCAGTAATGCTCTCTCGAGCGTGCTCTAGTTGTGCCTCCCGCAACTTACGCATTCAATCTTTCCGGCGTGCATGCTACTGGGCAATCATCTTGTTGGCATACATGATACACTTTCACAATCTACATCTACAGAATTGTAGGTATATTCGCTAATGTCAGCCTGTCTGCTCGTGAGCAAGTGGTGAACTGCAGTTCGACGCTCAGATTGACTGTGAGTCCGCGGCTGACATGACGTGAAGCGCCGATCACGCGTATCGAGCCATCCCTCTCTCTCCTGACTTCATCGTCGGGGACCCGAATCGAAAACTCCATTTTCCACCACGCACATCTCGGTCCTTGGTTGAACCCATTGCGCGCTGCTGCGTGAACGTCTTGCGAGTTGGCAATATCGGCTGCCGCGAATAAGCGTAGAAGGAATCAAACGAAACAACTTGCCGCCGGTGAGTAATCGACCCACAGTTACATAACAAGCAGACACCGATCAAGTACCCAGCTGTTTTTCTGCAGGTCTCCAAATTATGGATAGAGATCCCCTCACTTCCTTTCCTGAACCATAATCTCAGCTTCTCGAACGTTACCCCCGCCTGCGTGCATTAGGTGCCGTTCCTGACGACAATGAGCTAATCTCAATCCGGTCTGCCAGCAAAGTGTACGAGGAGAGGCGAGATGCCTTGCGCCGGCAGATCGAAGAGCTGAAGAAGCTAACGCAGGAGTCCGAGGCAGAGCTCGAGCTAGTGCAGCAGCGTATCGACGCTCACACTAATCTGATATCCCAAATCCGCTGAATCCCAGCCGACATCCTCTGCAAAATTTTCGGAGACGCCCAACCTTGCGTTCCGCTTGGACTCTCCGACATGACGCTAGCTGCTCCTTGAACGCTCTTACGCGTGTGCAAGCATTGGAAGGATGTTTGCTTGATGTTCGGATCGCTCTGGTCTCGCATCTGCATCGAGTGGAGCGTAAAACTGTCGTTCACAGAGCATCCCAAGCGAAGAACCCCCAACCTATCGGTAGTTCTCGATATTTGCCACGAATTTGGTGATATAGAACTTGACTCGCCACTTTCGAAAGCGTGCGCACTGCTCGCACTCCAGTTAGATCGGTCACTCAACGTCGATCTTTCCATTCTCATTGGACCACGGCACGCAAACGACTACGCTCAGCCCTTCTTGCGCGTAATACTCCCTCATTTCCATTGTTGCACCCATCTCACGGCTCCGTACCATATATACAAAGAAACGCCTCTGTACGCGTCGCAGGCCGGCTCACGCATGTGTACGTGCATCATCGGTCTCTGCATCGCGATTACTATTCAGTCGTGCCAGAAGACCATGGACATTTGGATGCGCTTCTCCAGCATCCCAATATTGGTTACGCGTCCGACTCGATCAGTTTGAACGTATCGCAATCCCTCCCGGCTAACCCCTTCCCCTGTCCGGAGCTACTGACGAAGCTTAGCTTGACAGTGCTGTTCCAGGACCGCTCACTGACAGTTGATTTGGTGCCTCTCCTCTCCCCATTCCAGAATCTCATCGAACTCCAGCTATACAGCGACAGCAATCGGCCGAGCGCCCAAAGGCATGATGGCGAGAACCGTGGGGCGCAAACTTAGCAGCTTTCACTACTTCACCTTCGGACCCTCGTCATCAAAGTGGGCAAGGACGTACCGCCCATCTTCGTTCAAAGCCTTTGCACTCCGCAGCTCGCGCATCTCACATACGGAGGTCAGCTGGAACCCAATATCATCATCAATCTGGTATCCCATACGTCCATACAGCTGCGCTCATTTTGCTTGGATGCCACTTCACCAGAAGGAGACGTACCAGAAGATCTTTTCTCCCAATTGTTTACCAACAGGTGCTCACTCTGGCAGTGGTTAGAAACGCTTATCATCAAACTTGGCAGAATCAGAGACGAATCATCTACCGAGTGAGAGCGGCTACAGCCCAGTAGCCCTGTAACCTCCGGCTTACTTCGTCTCCTCACACGACCAGGGCCACTTGGAACGAATCCTCTAGACTACCCAGACATCTTCCCGTGTCTTCTTCAACTCGAATTCTGCATGATGACGGCACCTGTGTGCCAGATTGCGGATATGCTGGAGTCTAGACGCGTTCGTCTGCCCAATCACGGTGTAATACTCACTAGGTGCAATCTAACAAGTTTCAAGTCGATGCACATATTGTTCGACTCGATCCAGATGGCACAGGAGATCAGATCGGCGGCGATGGATGCTCTCCTGACAATTGACGGCAGGCAGTCGTCTCGGAGAAGATGTGAGCCATTATCGCATGATACCCCCAATCCCGTCGGAGATTATGTAGAGAGTGTTACACGCGGTTGGAACGGGTCGCCTGGTGCAAGGAGGGTTATGAATCGACGGCTCTGGTGGAGAAAGGGACTTGAGAGAGAGCCCGAACAGTTGATAAGGATGCAGAAATTGAACAACGAAGGGCTCGAGCTCTGGATTACGGACAACTGCTAGTTTGTACGCATATGATGTGTTGTTTGTGTATGTTCGCCGAGCTGTCCCAGTGCTTGCTCGTCTGAGCCGTTTCTGGCGTTTCGCTGGCGTCAATCGGCTGGCTCGTCTCTTCGAGCAACGGTAAACTTCTGATCCGTGTCATGCAAGATTGAAGAGGAATCAGACTGTTGGAGCAGCTCGACGAATTTCGTAGGAGTGAAGCAGAGCATGGCCATATGTGATCGCTCGTAAGGTTGCTTTGTGGCTAGAGGCACTTGCCATTAGATTCACAGGCTCTGATACGAGCAATCTACCGGGTACTAGGGCTCCAACGGTATCTGTATAATACAGTTTTTATACTGTATTTACTGTATCTGTATCTATATGTGTATGCCCCACCTGGCATACGGTTTCTAACAGTATCTATACAGTATATACGGACGACAACGCCATAATTTGCTGGCGACACATTAATCAACAGGTTCATTGCAACTCAGTACCTACACTCACCACCTCTTCTTGGTACGTGTACCTCGCCCCCCTCTAGGTCGTTCTCATGAGCCTGGGACTGATTTCTAGGTTATTTAGGTATTATAAAACAAAGAGAGCAATCGCGTTGTCCATCGAAAGGGTCTGCGCACTATGCGAGACATCATATGCCGCCGGTGAATTCTCCAACATCCCCCTTACCCCTGCCCCCTAGCTCTGCTGCATCTAGCGCGTTTCCCACGCGTCTGGCACTTAGTACTACACTATCTATGCTCTATAAAATAATGGGAACGATCGCGCAGTCCGTTGAATTGGTCTACGCGATATACAAGGGATGTTACTCCGGTGAGTGCTTCCTCATCCCTCATACCCTTACCCCTCAACCTGACCGCCTCTGGGCCGTTTATCATGAACCTGGGACTGATTACCAGGTTATCCAGGTCCCATAAAACGATAGGGACAGCCGCGACACTCGTCGAAGTGGTCTACGCGTTACTCGAAGCAGGACTCTCCGGTGAGCCTCCCATACTCCTCATCTTCCTTCCCTCCAAACTCGGCCGCCTCTGGGCCATTGCCCATGAGCCTGGATTGATTCAAAGGTCACTTTAGGTCATAAAAACACGATTTTTTGCGCAGTTGTCATAGCTCGTAGGCGCTCAACTCGAATCGAGGCTCGAGTGCACTTTCCCTGCTCGTTTAAAGCCACTGACTCACTCCGTGTCCAATCCTTCCGGTAAATTTGCGCATTCTCGGCGCTCTGAGGGCATTGTTTCCCTGCTACTACATAGCTGCATTGGTTGTGCTAGACAGTGGTCCTACGCATAATCACACTCCTCCATGTATTATCCAAAAACAACTGTCTATATACAGTATTGTACAGTATACATACTGTTTCCATACGTATCTGTATCTGTATAGGTGCATCCGTATACAGATACAAGGTTGGAGCCCTACCGAGTACGAACGATTGCAGTAGAGTAGCTCTGTATTGCTGGGAGCTGAGCATTGAGTGCCCACTCCGAGTCTGCGTTAGACCCAATTGGAGACAGTGCATGCAACAAAATGAAACATCGAGCTATTCTGCGATTCGGATACGGGGAATCGAACCCCGAGCTGCCGCGGAGCTGTGTGGAATGCCTTAAATGCATGAGAGGCGGCAATGTTAACCATTACACCATATCCGATTAAAATTTGGTGTTTGTCTAGTAGATAGATTCATTGTGTCTGACGAGCAAACAGAGCTAAGCAACACCTCCCGAGAAGACTACGAGAGAAATTGCATGGGCAGAGGATGGGTGCAACAAGGGTTTAGGATGTACGCGTGACGAAACAGCAATTAAGATAGTTTCCTTCGCGTCGATGTTCACTCCGGTTGTACCATGTCAAATAAATAGATAACTAAAATTAACGAATGTGTTTCTTCCTGACTACCCCTCACCCCAACAATCCCAGCACTGATCAAGACCTAGCACTGGTCGTAAACATACCCAGACTTGCCCTTCGGCACGACCAGCCTGTCCCTCAACACGATCGAGATCTTCGATCCTCTCGCCTTGCACGACGCGTCGAAGTAGGATCGGTTGTACTCGATGGAGATCATGTTGTTGCCGTAGACGTCCATGTAGTCCTGGCACTCGTTCCATTCCTGGCAGTTCTCTGCGACGACGAACTAGGAGAGAAAGCAGGACCGTCAGCATGAAAGAAGAACGTATGGCGGCAAGGGAAGATGAAATGTTAACACAGAGAGAAAAATGATACTCACGTCGAACTTCGCCTCATTCTTCCCCCTAGCCCCCAACTCCATGGCGTTCTTCTGTCCCACAGCAAGCCCCTTATCGTGAGCGTACTTCGTCAACAACGTGGCGTAGGCGATGTTGTGGTCCATGGTAATAAGACCAGGTGCGCGCCAGAAGGTGTCGAGGTTGTCGATCTCGATGGCTTGGAATCCTCTCTGAGCACAACCGTCCACGTAGCGAGGGCCCATGACGGCGGTGAGGGCGACGCGGTTGGCGGCGGTACGGGTGTCGCTGTGGGAGACGTGTTAGGAAAAGTGGATAGGAAAGGAGGAGGGATGGGACGTACAGGAAGAACTCGCCCGGCCAGTCAGGGTCTTCGAAAAGCTACACAACGCAAACCCATCAGCACACGTTCGTCTCTCGACGCAGGCCCAAAACAGAACGTACCTGTCCATTCGCCTTCTTCAACAACAAGTTCGGGTGGTTCGTCTGCCACCACTGCTTATCCTGCGGCTGCGTCTGGAACCCGTTCACGTAGCAGATGTTGTACTTGCCCGCCAGACCAGAGGCCGAGCTATCACGGGTGAGAACCGCGACGTTCGTGTTGGGCGCGTAGGATCCGCCGAGTTGGTAGTCAAAGATCCCGTTAACGGGGGGAAGCGTCCATGCGCGGCGCTCGAGGGTAGCGGCGGAGATGAAGGGGAGGACGGCGGCGATGAGGGCGAGGGAGAACTTCATGGTAAAAGAGTGGAGTGGGGTGGGGGTAGGTGATGACCGGAACGTACTCTCCACGTCCTGCTTTTATAACTTTGCGGATGTGCTGGGAGCTGTACGTGTGAAATGTAAGCTAGGAACGGGTACCTGTATGAAGTACGCACGCACCGTCGCTACCAAGCCTGCATGCCTGCAATCATTGACTCGGCCTCCTGGCAGAAATTCCCGGTCGCCCTGCAGCCCTGACAAGAGCCATGATGGAAATAAAGTGGCCGGCGGCGGCGGAAGCATCGCAGCGATGCAGCATGCGCATTGCACATGGAGATCACAGAGGATCAGTCGAACTCAGGATGGTGTTTTGTATCGACCAAAGTAGCTGGAAGCTCTTCCATTAATCTACATCGCTGCTCTTCCCGAGAAAGTGTATTTGTGAACGATGGACAAGGCCAAGGTAAGATGCAAATCCAACCCGGAGAGCAAGAAACTTGGCATGGAAGGATTGGGGAAGGTGGGAGGAGGTGTACGTCACATCAAATATTGATCGCTGCACTGCAATGATCGTCGTTGGCACGGGGATTTCGGCATTACTTCGGGCTTCTGCAATTGCTCAACCGCCAGTGCGCTTCCTCGTTCGGCCTGAGTGCTTAGCAGACCAGTAGCAGATCCAGAGCAGACTTGCGACGGAAATCTAATACACAGTTCTCGTAAGGGTACCACCTTCAACCGCTTCTGCAGTCGTTGCATGCTGCTCTATTCGTAACCTCACTCAGGGTCGACAGCTTGCCTCTTCTCTCGCCATGTCGACGCCGACGTTTGCTAGTCCCAGGGGCGGGCGTAACCAACGTGCATGCGCAGTCGACAACCCTATCACTACAGATGCCGCCGGACCATCCACGTTTCTGCCCCCGAGGGTGAAAGGCGCCGCAAAACCGGCACAATTACTTGGTGAATCCCAGAACGTCATGGAGATGGAATATAATGGAGAAGAATGATCAGTAGTACCTCCGGCGTACAAACGACAAAACGAAGCGGAGAACATCAAGGGTAGAATATGAAACAGGACTGCAGATCGGATCACCCGCACCCTCAGGATTGATGCACAGTAAATAGATACTTCGCATGAGCATGAGTCCGAAAAGGCAAAGGATGGAGATGCAGACGTCCATGCACATCGGCGAAAACTTGAAGCTGTGAGCCTGGTGCGCGTTCCCTAAGTAGTAGGAGTCGGACTGCTTCGCCACATCCGATCTCATTGCAGACACGACGTTGAGGTTGGGACTACGCGTTGATGGAGCGCCGGATGTCGCCTGTCTGGTCTTGACCTTGAGTTTGGACGCACGGCGAAGGACAGCGTTGGATGACAGCGGCCCAGGGCTACTCGTTCGACGCGCAGGTGAAGATGAGCGAGTAACACCTGTGTTCTCGGCTCGAGAAGCTAGTACACGCGCCACCGGATATCGAACGAGGTTTCTCGCGAAGGGACGTTTGACCGCTGGTGGTGTAAGCCGCTTTTGAGTCCCGGGAACTTGGGTGTGAGTTCCAACATCTTGCGTCTGAGTCCCAGCAAGTCCTACTTGAGTCCCTACAAATCGTGTTTGTATACCAGCGAATTGCGTTTGAGTCCCAGCAGATTGCATTTGAGTCCCAGCATCGCACAATCTTCGGACAGTCGACGGTGAAGTTTCTTCTGCTGCGCGGAGGGCATCGCTGGTGGCGGAGCTATGATCGATTGAGAGTCCGTCGATATTGAGGATTCTTGGGCGTCGATCAACGTGAAGGTCGGCCGAGCAATGGGCGTTGACGTCGGTCCAGCATCCGTCGATGATGAACGTGGTTCAGCCTCAACATCGGTGTCTTCTGCCACGACTGTCTGAAATGCCGATCCGGTGGAAAGAGCAGTAATCTCTGGTGCTGAGGATGTCGGTGGCTGGAGCGAGGCGATTGAAGCTCTGGGAACGACGTCTCTTGGAGCTGTGCGAGCAGAAACTCCAAGAACGACGTCTGTTGAAGCCGTGGGACCAAAAACTCCAAGAACCACGTCCGTTGAAGTGTCAGGAACGACGTCCTTTGAAGCTCTAGAAACAGAGTCCGCTATAGCTCGAGGAGGCGAGCCCACCAAAGTCGAGCCCCTCAAACTTCCAGCAGATAAGTCCACCGAGAAATCCGGAAGCTTGCTCGAAACGCTGATCGGCGGTAGCACAGGAAGGACTCCCTCGGCGCAGATTGAAGGTGCTTGAAAACGAGATGAGGCCTCGAAGGCGAATGGAGACATGGGTGGTTTGGGTCGCTTTGTAATACGAGAGAAACCTCTCGAAGAAGAGGATGTCGGTTTCTTGACGACCGACTTGACTACAGGAATGGGAACGGTGCAAGTAGGCAAGGTACACGAGCATGGGATCCTGCGAACTCGTCAGTTGATATCATCGGGAGGAGTCTAACGAGGAACGCACCAGCAATCGGGGCTGAACCTGACTAACCGACCCAACCTCTCCCCATCATACGCGATACACTTCGGCACGTCCGACTTGTCTATCATCCGCTTCAACACGAGCCGTTGAGAGCAAAGCCGACATAACATACCAGACGAGCTGTGAAGCTACTCTCCCCAAAGACCCCTTCACCCGATCCAAGAACACCCCATAACACCAACTCACTTCCTCCACTCCCTCATGGGCATCGTCAATCACCGCCAACCTCCTCGGTCGAACTTTCTCCAGCGCGTCGAAAACCTCGTTGAACCGCCTCAGTTGGCGCTTAGATACCCTATATATGAGATCCGGAGGGCAATGCAGTCGAAAGCATAGATCTTCCGACTTGAGTCGAGAGAGCGAGAGCAACTTGCTGAAGGGCGCTAAGTATTCGTCCTCGTACCGGATACGGCTAGTGGATGTGAATCTTCGGGGCGAAATCGACAGAGTGTACCATAACGCAGTAGCTTGTCGCTTATTCTTGATGATTACAGTCGCGTAGAGGTGTGGAAGGCCGATGTCGTGCCACCGTCGACATACGAGCAGTATGGAGGGGTTTTGAGTGGTGGGTAAACTTGTAGAGAAGTGAGGAGATATACAGTTGAGATTGGAGAAGAACAGGGATGTGGGAACGCTGAAGCAGGGAGAGAGGATGGAGGGGAGGAGATCGTCGCGGAGGACGGCGTCGATGGCAGTTGTGGTTGAAGAAGGCGCCAGTGATCGCATCAAACTCGACAATTCGCGGCTCTCCTCGTGGTCGGAATGCTCCTTGACTTCGACCACCGTCACAGCGCGTGTTCGTCTCCATCGTCAGCCTTCTTCCTTGCGTCTTTGGCTATATCTGATTCGTCCTTTCTCATCTACATGTGCTTGATTCACTCTGACAGCCACGGGTTCTACTGTTGCCACATATCGGTCTCGACGCTGTCAAGGACTCCCGCAATTTCAAAGGCCTATAGCATCTCCCGCTTATGATCGATGCGCCCAGCTGAAGAACCAGGCGATCTCCCTGAGGTTCTCATCTACCGGATTCTCGGCTATCTATGCCACCTCCCGCTCTCGTTGACCGCAGGTTCGCCTAAGCCATCCGGACAGGTTTCCCTCGGCGGGGTCTCTCCGGACGGTATAATCAAGGCTGATTCCAGACCTCGCCTGTGTACTCTGCTTCATGCACTACGTATTAACAAAGCCTGGAATGCGCAGGCTTCATCCATACTCTATGCTACTGTATCCTTCGACTCTGGGAAGGACACTATATTAAATGTG